AATGTTTATCTTAAAGTTTAATCAAATAATAACAAATTTATTTATATCAATGAAATTTAAGTAATGATGTTAAAAATTCATCTTGTGATAATGTTAGTTATGAAATTTTATTTTTTTATTTAAAATTTTTTGTTTAAATGATTTTTAAATATTTTAACGGTTGTTAGCATTTCAACAGTTCTTAATTATTTGCTATTTTATATTTTTTATTTTCTCAGTTATTTTTTGTTTTAATTCTGATCTATATTTTATATATTTGTATTATATATGTTTGCATGTTACGGTTATGTAGAGTTTTTTTTTTTTTTAATATGCATATTAAAAAAAAAAAAAAAAAACTCTACATTTAAAAAAACTCTACCTTATCGCCGAGCCCCATGGGGCTCGGCGATAAGGCAAACTGTGCCTTCTTCTTGCTCCTGCCATTAATTTTGATATATGTATATGCAATGTAAACATTCTTTAACGGCGAAATAAATAAATTACATTAAAAAAAAAGAAAAAGAAAAAGCGAAAAACTTAAAAGCAAAAAAGTTACTGGTTTCTATTAACATCAAATACTATTAGAATTTTTTTTAATAAAAACAAGTTCAATACCGTAAAAACCCCTAATTCCGGATGGTTAAGGACTTAAATTGTCATAAACTAGCTCAATAAAAAAAATTTTGAAATAATTTTTTTAAATAAATAAACTTCATAACAAGATAAATCAAACGATATAAAAAATATTATTTTTGCAATATAAATCTATCTTTTATTTTATTTTTAAAAAATATTGTTTTTATCCGGAATTAGGTGTTTATGTCCCTAATTCCGGATGCGTATAAAATACAGTAAAACACATACACAAATAATACTAACATTAAAATAATTATTTTAATCCATTAGAAAATGAAATCGTTTAATAAAAAAAGAATATATATTATTTTATACACATTCGTTACAAATAAATTTCATGGTTGGATGATAATCAAAGACACATTCAATGCATGACCAATTTAAACACTGCTCACACGCAAGCCATTGGTTATCTAAGTTATTTGTCCAATTAATTTTGCAAGAATAACATAGAAAATCATCAGATACTAAAATGTTATTTGAAGCTTGAGGAAAATGAGGGTCTTCTAATAGATTCTTTGTCTTTATACCTTTTTTACCTGGTATTTTAGACAACTGACTTTGTCTCAACTTTTTTTTTTCTTTTCTTTTCTGTGCATTTTTCGCATTTTGAGTAGCAGTTATATACTTTATTGTTCTCTAGTAAATTTACTAGTGGAAATCTTTTTTTGTTCTCTAGTAAATTTCTTTGCAGCTTGTTCATCTAATTTTTGTTTTTTTGATGCTTGTTCAGCTTCATCGTAAACTATGGCATCCGTCGAAGTCATATTATAATTAGCTGGTCGCTTTATTCTCTCACTTTTTTGAACTCTTTTATTTAGAGTTGGAGTCAATTGATCTTGAAACATATTTAACACTGATTTGTTTATATCTTTGCCCACTTGTTGAACAGCATTATTCAAAGTAGCAAAGCTTTTAAGCAAAAATTCACGATTTTACATTCTTGACGGTGTGTTAGGTGTATTTGTAGCATTTCCCATAACTAGTGGACTAGATACTGTTGAAGAATCAAATAAATTTTAAGTATTGTTGCTTTTGACAGCTTGAAACACAGCACCAATGGAAGTTTTTTTTAGAAGAAATTTGCAAACGATCGAGTGGAAATATACCAGTATTTTTGTAACCACTCCGTGCATTTTCAGGTTTAAACCCACCAATTTGGATGAGATTCTTAAACAAGGCCGGAAAATGTCGATTATTCAGGCTTTAAAAGTGATTTTTAGTCAAATAACTTTCGACAATTCTCTTCCATGCGTCTTTTACTGTTTTAAAAACGCCAACATCTAGTGGCTGTAAAAAATGGCTGGTATGAGCCGGCAAACGCCAAAGTGAAATATAATTTTCTAAAGCTTTTTTTTTCAACTCTAAGCTCATATGTGAAGAATGGCTATCAAGTATTAGAACTTTAAATCCTGAAAGTTTGTTTGCGTGAGGCAAAAAACTGTTTCAAACCACGACAAAAAATGTTCAGATTCCATCCAGCCTGAACTACTACTGTTATAATAAACATTTTATGCACAGCCTTTGCACCAGTCTTTCATAACATGTTTGCCTTTATAAATTATTTGATGAGGTAAATAATTACCGAATACGTCACAACAAGTCAAGATTGTCGTCATTTGCTTTTCATTCGATGGTGCTAGCTTTTTAGGGTTTTTTGTTCCTTTTCTACAAATAATTTTGAATTTGCCTTGATTAAATTGCAAACCAGACTCATCAAAGTTAAATATTTGAAACGGCTTATCGCCTAAATTATGTTCATTCCCAGTGGGCACACGACGTTATTTCGACGTTGATTTACAGTTGATTTTTAGAAATTAATAAATGTTTGGTTCTTTTGTCTTTCTGATATTATTGTTAGAAAGAGATGTTAGTAAAAACTCTTTCCAGTAATTAAAGTAATATCATGACAAATAGTTCTGAAATTCTATGGATGAACTTGCAGCAGTAATTTAATGATTATGATAACAGTTTAAATGATTCTTGGGTGAGGTCAGAAGTGATGGGTTGTTTCAGACCATGAGTTTTTGCAGTTTTTTTTTATTGTTTTTTGATTAAGTATTTATTAATAACTTAGCCTAAATTAATCTACTTGTAACTTTTTATAAATGTACTATAAAAATAATGTGGTGTAATTATTTTCTTAAACCTTTAAGTTAACAAACTTTCTAAAATTGGAGGTAAAACCATTAAGACAAATACAAATACATGTGATGCAAAGGTTTGTAAAAGTAGTTTTAAATGAAAAATCTTTTGAATCTTTTTATTATAGTTTGTTTTAAACTTGTGTTAAAAAAATGTATAGCATATATTTTTAAAAGTTTGACGAATTCTAATCAGACATAAAATAATTTTTTTTTTTTTGTCTGATTATAATTTTTTTTTGTAACTGTTTTCTTTTACTTTTGTATTTCCTTGAGCTAAAGAACAACCTTAAAGTACAAAGGTTGATTTGTAATGCATACTTAACCTTTTTATTTACTCTATATATACATACATATACATATAAACATACATATCAGGGGCGGATCCAGCATTTTTTGGTGTTTGAGATAGCTTACTTCCAGACATGGAGCAACTCCAAACATTTACATGTTTATACTTATATCAAGTAAGGATGGTTTGCAAAAAATTGCGATGATTGGAGCCTGGGAACAAAAAAGCCCCAAAATTTGAGACGTACCTGCCCCAAACGTGAGAGCAACAAGTTGATAAAATATTTTTTGTACTATTCTCAACAAGACTTATATTTATCAATAAACTTTAAATTTCATAGTAAAATATTTTAGCGCTCAAAAATTATGACCATATAAAAATTGTGACCCCCTCGAATTGAGGGGGATTCAAACTTTACATGGTCATAATTTTTGAACGCCAAAATATTTTACAATGAAATTTAAAATTTATGGATAAATATAAGTCTTGTTGAGAATAGTACAAAAAATATTATATCATCTTGTTGCTCTCACGTTTGGGGCAGGTACGTCTCAAATTTTAGGGCTTTTTTGTTCCCAGGCTCCAATCATCGCAATTTTTTTGCAAACCATTCTTATTTGATATAAGTATAAACATATGAATGTTTGGAGTTTGCTCCATGTCTGGAAGTTAGCTATCTCAAACACCAAAAAATGCTGGATCCGCCCCTGCATATATATGTATGTATATATACATACATATGCTTATATGAATATATATATATATATATATATATATATATATATATATATATATATATATATATATATATATATATATATATATATATATATATATATATATATATATATATATATATATATATATATATATATATATATATATAAAATATATATATATATATTATTTATAAAGTTGTACTTGATAAAAATAAATAAATAAAGATGAACATTTTGAATATTTATTGATTATTATGATAAATTATATAAAATATATATAAAGTATAAATATTTTGCAAAAACACTTTTATTTGCAATAACTGCTTCATTAAATTGTGGCATGCTTGCAGTTTATTTTTTATAGTTTCTGTCAACTCTGGGTTATTAGACTAGATCTTGATAATCTCTTCCATAAGATTTTGCTTATTAGTAAGATTTTTTTTTCCAATCTCTTGCTTTACTATTTCCCAAATGTTTTCTATGGGCTTAAGATCATGCGAGTTGTCTGGCTATAGCAATACATCAACTAAGCCATAACAGTTTTTATTGTGTGGCAAGTTGCACCATCTTGCATAAATATAAGATTTTTGACATTATTTTTAAATTTTTTTGTCAATTTTTGACTTGTTTGGCTGGACATCAATCCCTCTTCTTTTAGCCTTCTACAAATGGTCCAGTCTGACACAACAATTACAGCTTCATGGATAAGCTTAGTGGCTTTTTTTCTCTTTTCCAGGCAGATATTTCTGATTATACTGTCCGCTCTTGGTATTTTCTTGCGTTTTGTCATGGTTTGAAACAACCCATCACTTCTGACCTCACCCAAGAATCATTTAAACTGTTATCATAATCATTAAATTACTGCTGCAAGTTCATCCATAAAATTTCAGAACTATTTGTCATGATATTACTTTAATTACTGGAAAGAGTTTTTACTAACATCTCTTTCTAACAATAAAGATATTTCAGAAAGACAAAAGAACCAAACATTAACTAATTTCTAAAAGTGTTGAAACATAAGAACAAAAAATTTATAAAATAAAACATTATTGATAAATTAAATAAAATGTATTAATTTAGCAACCAAAGAAATGTGTAAATCACTGAAGCATAGAAAAAAATGTTCAGAATCTTTTCTTCCTAAATCAACTTGCAGACAGACAATTAATACCTTGAGCTACAGTATGTGGAGTATGCACAAAAATTGTTTTCTGTTTCTTTTTTTGCGTTACAGGAGTGAGTATTTGCTTACTATTTTGTTGGTTATTATGTTTTCTCTTGCATAAGCATGGTAGTGGCTCCTATAAAAATTAATATCAAAATATAACTAATAATACTTGAATTAAGTATCTTTTGAAATAGTTACCGTTTTCTGAACCTGATTCTATCTGAGTATCACTAATAGAGGTAAATTCAAATTTATTACATAACTCATGATCTAAGAATATTCATTCAATTTAAAAATGTTTTAAATACATTATATAATAAAGAATATATTATAAAGAATATATCTAAACATTGAAAACAGCATTTACAGAATGAAAGCATGTTAAAAAAACAAAGAAAAAAAGAAATGACTTAAGGTTTATATAAAAAAAAATTACATTATCTCCATGACATTTAATTTTGAGCAGCGTAAATCTGTATTAATTAGATGCGGTTTATGCATTTCATTGAAACAATTTATTACATTTAATGATGATGGCCAGCACAAAAAATTATCAATTGAATTTTCTCTCTTTATTTCTCTGTATTTTCTATCCAAACAGCTCGAATGAACATTTTGCATGCCCTACTATACTTTTTCAACTGGAAAAGTATAGTAGAAAATATAATAGAAAAAATACTTATACATTAAAGAATTGTTCATGTAAAATAGCTAACAAAAAAATACAACTTTAAACTGTACGTTATGATACATTATACAGTTGCTAAAGTTTGCTAAATTTTTATGTTGATCAATCTACCAGCCAATATCATGGACTAAGGGAGCATGCACAAATTCTTTTTTATACAACTTTACATGAAAAATCTTTAAAAATTTTAATAAAAATTTTTTAATATAAAAAATATTTAAACTCTTTAAATCACATGGATTGGTAAAAAAAGCTTTATAAATCATTATTTTGTAAAACATCATCCATTATATATATTTATATTATGTATGTATATATACATATATAGTGTATGTATATATTATATATGCATATTATATATATGTATATATATATATATACATATATATATGCATATTATATATATGTATATATATATATATATATATACATAGTATAAATATATATATACTATATATATATATATATATATATATATATATATATATATATATATATATATATATATATATATATATATATATATATATATATATATATATATAATATATATATATATATATATATATATATATATATATATATATAATATATATATATATATATATATATATATATATATATATATATATATATATATATATATATATATATATATATATATATATATATATATATATATATATATATATATATATATATATATATATATATATATATATATATATATATATATATATATATATATATATATATATATATGTTATATAAATAAGAAACTTGTTTTTATTGGGCTAATAAGTAACTTGTTAAGTCTTTACTTGTTATTTGTTATGTTGATAAAAAAATTTTAAGTCACGCATGCGTATTTTAGTTATCATATTGCAATTAAGAACGATCGAACTCGTAATATAGATGTTGAATTAACGTGGAATCAACGTCGATTTTATTTGATAGTTTTAAGCAAATTTTTCAACGTTGATACAACGTTGATTTTTGGTTATACGACGTCGCGACTAAAAATCAACTGTAAATCAACGTCGAAATAACGTCGTGTGCCCACTGGGTATGCTACTGATAATTTCTCAAACCAATTGTCAATTATAGCTGGTTGTGTGGCCCCAGGTCTAATAGTTTGCATACCGCTTACTTTTCTTGGGCAAATTTCTTTACGATATTTATTCATGAAACTGGAGTACCATTTTCTAGTCGGTTTGCCGTCTGTGAATAGACTACGTTGGTTTGATTCTTTTAAATAGTTTTCAACAACAATAAACACGTCTATTCAAGCCGAAGCCTATATCACTCATAAATTTTAATAAATCAACAATAATAGCTTCAGTGATGTTGCTCATCTTTCTTGGCGCTCCTCGATTATTAGATGATCCTTTTGTTCTGTCAAAAAGTGTAGATTTTGCCACATTATAACACTTAGGAGCTTATACGTATGATATTTTTTTATCAGTAATAGCTTGAATAGCTGGCTGGATTCAACTCTCTCGCTCTTCTTTTTGTTTAAAATTATCCATATTCTTTAATACAGTAATACAATTAACACAAATGCGTTAACTTTATTAATTATCTTTTCCCTTGAGGTTTTTTTATTTTTTATTACTTCATGAAAGTGATAAAAAATAAAATAGGCAATTGTAATTAACTGTATCCGGGACTCAAAAGTGTATTTGTTTATTGCTGCTGGCTAATTTGTTTATTATTTTTTCTAGGTACATAAAATAATAATTACCTCTATCCGCAAATAGGTTTGGTAGCAAATTTGTTTTTTATTTTTTTCTATTATTTTAAAAGGTAATTTAATTTTTTTTGGCTAAAATTAGCAGCATGAAATTCTGTACAAAATAGTGTTTTTACTTTTTTAATTTTTTTGTTGCAAGTCAAAGTTTTTTTTTTCCTTTTTTTTGTTTTTTTAGTTATGAGAGATTTCAAATTGAAATCTTTCATGATTACATTAGTTTATATAATTTTTTTTTTATATTTTTCGATTTGTCTCGTAAAGACGTTTATTAATTAAAAAAAATTATTCATAAATTCATTATATTAAGGGAGTTATGAAACTTTTTACTAAAACCATCCGGAATTAGGGGTTTTTACGGTATATACTTTAATATACTTAAAGTAATAAAATAATAATTATAAAAATATAAATATGTAAATTAAAATATGTAAATTATTATTAAAAAGTTTATTTAATGCAACGAAAATAAAAACCAGGTTCTTTTGTTAAAAAAAAAAAAGAAAGAAAAAATTCGTTTTAACATATTTTTGGTAATAAACAATAATAAATAACTTTTGCTAATAGAGTATCATCACCGTCACAATAATAAGTTTGACAACAAGCCTAAATACTAATTAAAAAAAAACAGCTCAACCCAAACACAGAAAAGTAACCAAAATTTTATTGTATGATATTAATATACAAGATAGTTATGGTGCTTACGTAAACTAACGGCATGACACGGAAGACATCATAATGTTTTTAAGACATTCTTCATGAAAAAAAAAAAGAAACTAGTACTTTTATTTTATATTTTTTTCTTAGTTTAGTGACTAATTCAGTGATCTAAAACGGCCTTTTCATAGAGTTTTTAGAATGGTTAGAGTTTTTGCTCAGAACCTCATGGATGGAACCTCATGGATGGAACCTCATGGATGGAACCTCATGGTTCTCTGTTGGGGTTTTGAGCTAGAACTCTAATCACTCTAAGATCCACTGCGCCACTCCTACTTAAAAGTCAATATTAAAAATAAAAAAATTTGTGATTGTCTTGTTTAACATTTAAAAAAATTCTTTTTATAATATAATACTGAAAATGATCTCTAACCGAATTAGTAAAATATCTTTAAGTAAAAAAACTTAGATTTTATTCCAAATGCCGAAATATAATGCAAGATCTTGAGTACAAGATTTTCAACATTGCGTGAATACGGAGGTTTAAACCTCCATATTTACTTGATGTTAGAACAAAGGTAGTAAAAATGTTTTTTGGTATAGTTGATAAATACTCCTGAATATTTGGTATACTCCAGAAGTATTTGATATTATATCAATTATACAATTGTCAAAAAACCACTCTATGCCCACTTAATAAGAAATGCTTTCGAAAAAACATTGTTTACATTTGGAATGTTAAAAATCACCAAAAAACGGAATATAGTTGCATAGAATTTACTGAGGAAAACATTAAAGATATGATAAAATGATAAAGATAGGATAAAATGATAAAAACATTTATATACAAAAATCATTCCATAATACGTAGGGAACTTTTTATTTTTTTTATCAAAATATTGAGTGGCATTCAACAAAACTTGGCAATTAAAAATTTTCTTCATCAAAATCTTCTCAATAAAGAAAAAAAAAATGTTGAATTAAAATAAACAAATTAAAAAAAGTAAATTTAAAATAAAAAAACATGATCAAAATTAATGACAGAAGTATAATAAATATTTCAGTCTTACTTCAAAGAAATAATACCCATAGTTCAAATGTGTTCTATAATATTGTGCTATAATATTATAGAACACATAATATAAAATGTGTGCTATAATATTACCAGAAGAGTTCTAAAAACACTTTTTAAATGTTGGCTTTAGTCCTGAAAAATAAAATTATACCAACATCTGATTGATTTACAATATATCTAAAGTTGTCATGTGGCAAGTGCAACCTTTAGTGAAACATTAACATAAAGAAAAACAATGATAATATCACTGTCAAACACACCCTGCTCCAAATAACTGATAGTTTTTACAACAACAACAAAAAAAATCCTCATATTGCGTTTATCAAATAATCTATGTCACTTCACAAAACTGATAACTCTATTTTCTAAATACAGTGATCAATGATGAAAAGCTAAATAATTACGGGGCGAAGAATAAAATATATTGATGGTTAAAAAGCTTTCCAATGCTTCCGGTTTGGAATGGTTTCCGGGATAGTTTTAGAAATTTAGTTCAACAGTTGCACAATAATTTTTTATAAATGGAAACATTTTTTTGCGTAAATATCCACATGTTGGACAACTTAACGTCAGTTGAACAAAAGTTTATGTTGTATAACAAAGCTTGCGTAAATAGAGTCAAATCAATTTCAGCAACAACTGTTGTACAACAAAACCTATTGTAGAACATTTGTACAACTATTGGAAAACCAAAGCTTAAATTAATGTGTTGAGTACCTCAAAGAGACATCCAAGACCCGCTCTTTTAATTTATGTAAATATTTTAATAATTCATCAATAAAACTAAGTTCTGTCATGTTTGCGAACGATAAAAGTCTTTTTTTAGATAGTAGTAGTATAAATCAATTTTATACGAATATGAATATTGAATTAAAGCATATGATCTGTTTAAATCAGACAATCTTTCATTTTCTCCATAAAAAAACTCTAGAAGCAATCCTTGGTCTAAAATGCCAGAACTTGTTATAAAAATGGAAAAACGCAACTCAAACATCTGTTGCAATTTGTTTCGGAGGAGGATTCTCTTTTATTCAGTTTCATCAGCCTTCATAGCTAATGGAAAATTAGTCGCAAATGATGTCATCTCTGTGCACGGTGTTTCTCTCTGTATACCAGCTAAATCATGAAAAGTATATTCGTCAATATGGTCACGCAAAGATGGAAAGTTTTAAGGATCCAGATAAGCAATATCCTTTTTTAGATACCAAGATCATTTCCTTTAAAACGGTCAATGATTACTGTAGAGGCTCTACCTACAGTAACATTGAATGTATTAACCTTAAACGGTCTTTTTGGGTACCAAAATTATTGCCTGCTTTCATCATTAGTATTTTCAACAGACATCTGCTTTATTCTGCTTTATTTATTTGATCATATTATAATATAAATTTTGTTGAATTACATAAAAAAAAATTTTTTAAAGAATGTTTTTTTGAAAAATAAGAAACTTTTTAGATAAACCCATTTTACCCTATTTAAGGCTGAACTCTAATTGAATTTCACTATACTTTTTTTATAAATATATATATATATATATATATATATATATATATATATATATATATATATATATATATATATATATATATATATATATATATATATATATATATATATATATATATATATATATATATATATATATATATATATATTGTTTTAAGTAGTAAAATCTCCAGCTCCAATAAATATTTCTGACACTCTCTGGTTTTGCTTATTAAAAGCCAGTGCATATTATTATTATTATTATTATTATTATTATTATTATTATTATTATTATTATTATTATTATTATTATTATTATTATCATTATTATTGAAAATCATTAAGTGATTTTCAATATCAATAATATGCACTGATTCACCCCTTGGATGGGGTACCTTGATAACTATCAGTGTTTTATGGTGCGCCTTTCTCCTGCACAAACTTGAGAGAAAAAAAAAACATTAGCAGTTTACTCAGAAATAAAACCAAATAGTACACTTTTTAATGAAGTTAATCATATATAAACATTGTAAAATGCATTATTTGGCAACCAAACTCTCTATTGAATACCTTCTTTTTATAATCTTTATCTCTTCTCTAATCTCTAACCAAATATCTATTATCACAAAATGAAATGCTTTATTAAGTATTGACCTATATGAAATGCTTTATTTAGTTTTGACCTAAAAAGTTATTCTTCCATTTTTCTATTTAAATGGAAAATTTAAGAAAAACATCTTATTGATGTCAATGAATTAAATTGTTTTTTGTACAACATGACATTTTAAGTATGTTTTTTTTGCTGATATAAAAACCACATTTATACACAAACAAACCACTTAAAACACAAAAGTAGAACTATAATGTAAACATAATATTGAGTCGAAATGGCTATTCCTATATTCATAGCATAAATAGGGCGTGTAAAAAGGGCGTGTGAATTAGATGTTATAACAATAATGTTGTTTAATTTGCAACAAACCAGAGCATTATTTTTTTGGAGACAAAAGTTATTTTCCAGGTCATTGAGTTCTTTAAGAGTTCTTTGAGTTCATTCTCTTTACATTTCATTCAATTCAATGAATTCTTGATGCCTGAAATAGATAAAAACACAGTAAAAAAAAAACACACACAAAAAAAAACAACGTTCTTTGTTAGACCAAACAATTTTAAGGTAAAGTTTTCAACTTAATTTAAATTTAAATTTTATTTTAAACTTATGACAAAGTCAAGAGTTTAAAATATATATCAATTCTGATGACGAGTTTGAAAATAATAAAGGAAATAACAATAAAATTTTTCAAAATAGAAATACTTTATCAGGCATAAACCTAACTTAGATAACCTTGTTATCTAAATTATGCTAACATTGCTAAGTGAATCACGATCAACACAAAGCAAATAATTAAATAAAGAGAATATCTTCTAGAGCTATATTTATTTAGCAGTCATCTAAATATCATATAGGATAACTTCATTTTATATAGAAAGGTTTAAGGTCTTTAAACAATTTATTTTAATATATTGATATCAGTATATATAAAAATAAATTTTATAAAAATTTCATATCTTCAATATTACATTTTTGAATACTCTCTTCTAAATCACAACAGTTAAAAAAAACAAATGTCTTTTTTTTTACCATTAAGTTTTTGTTTTTTGTTTTGTTCAATTATTACTCAAAATAAATTTCAGCATTGAGAAAAAAACTTGAGCCTTCTCTGCTCCGTTGTAGTATTCGGCTTGTAACGTATGATTCCAATCGATTTTCCAACTTAAATGTTTTACCTTTAATTCTCTTTGGTTTTATTTTCGGCACGTTTAAAATTTTAAACCGTGGCAGCTTTTGTATGAACATCAACGCAGGGGTTGAAAAAAGCCAAGGAAATCAAATGTCCTGAAAAATACCATAGGTGTCTTTTGAAGGCTGTCATTGCTGCATCTCTAATAAAGTTGTTGCAGGTATAATCATTTAAAAGTCTTAACAGCCTCAAGTCATTATATGGAGTTCTTTCTGCCAAGCAAGCTTCATGCTAAAACTTTCCATTAATTAGAGCAACAAACAGGCTAAAACTTTTCTTTCATGAGCAGTGAGAGTCACTTGGTTCTTGGAAACAAGGATTTTTATGGAATAGATGCCCTTCGCCATCCACCTGGCGTGGTTCATGGCTCCTGGTGCTCGAAATTGCACTTCTTTTTTTGGGCAACTACAAAGAAAGACGAGGCACAATTTTAGAAGCTTTTTACAGCTTCTTTGTAGTATGCAACCATTTCATTGCGGAGATCAGTCATGGATCCGCTGAAGAGCTTTTCATCAGCAGCATCATATTTGCTTTAGTCAAATGTTGGCCATTCAAGATATGTGCATGCAAATGCGCTGGAAAGTATAATTTCAAAAACATGTTGGCAACATGCTATCCACACGAGGTCTTTCTTGAGAGTTTTTTTAACAATTGTGCATGCTCCAGATTTCAAGCCAGTGTTTGAGACTGTTGTGTCGAACACAAGCCCACATATTTTGTATTTGAGATGCTAATTATCAAATAGTTCAAAGCAGGTACTGGTATTCTCCTCACCTCTTCCTCTTATAATTTTGGAAACCCAAGCAACTTTTCTTCATCAGCTCTAGAAACTAAGAAATACTGCAAAAAAAATATATATACAGATTATTAGGACCTCGGTGATAAGACAACTATACGTGTTTCTTGCTCCAGTCATTTGCATAATTTACAAATATTTAAATTGGTGAATACTTAATAACGCGGTGCTCTGTGATAAGACCGTAAGGACTTCTTGGGGCACCTAAATCAATAAAAAAAAAAAAAAAAAAAAAAAAAATTACAACAAACTTACAGATAAAAAAATGATCATTAAGTTTTCATCAAAAAATTCTCAGGGGTTGGTACACAAAGGTAAAAAACTTTTTAAATTGACAACAAAATCAATAGTTTTAACTGTTATTATTATCAACATTAATATTATTATTATCATATAGCAGATAAATATAGAATTAACAACTTTATAAATATATTTCAGAACAATCTCAAAGTAATAAAAAATACTATTACACAAAAAAACATAATTAAAAAAAAAAAAAATACTATAAATACTCTAAATACTATATTAAATATTAAATTAAATATCAGATAGAACTTTTATTGAGTCTAGTGCGCTATACGACTTTGATCGACTATTTACATACTTCTGATATCCGTTTGATTTTGCGTCTACCGCCATAAATGACCTACTTATTTTGCGCTTCTCAAACTGAGATTGTTTGCACATTTCAACTAATATACTTTTTAAATCCTCTGTGGGTATGGCAGCTGATCTTTCAAAAACCTCAACACCGTATTCTGCAGATAAAGATAAACGATCTTTAGCACTGACTTCGCGTTGTTTACATTGATCAATTTTATTTGCAATAACTGCTATCGGTATATCATTTAAGTTTAACGCACGAACTTTTTGAATCAAATTTTTAACATTTTCAAAACTGTCTTTGTTAGTTACTGAATAAACAAGTATAACCGAGTCAGCGTAAGAAATAAGAGCGTCGTTCTACAAAAGAAATAAAGATTTTTCTTTAAATAAAAGTATACCAAGTTATACAATATAGGCACAAGGGGTGTGTGACACCCCGCCATAAAGAAGGAGGTTAAGATATTTATCTCCAGTTAGCAATGGAGAATTTTAAGATTTTTTTTTTTTTTTAGTTATCAAAATTAGATAGGCACTCCTCCCCCACCTCTTTCACACGTAAAACTTACTCACACCAGCCACATTAAAAAAAATTTCTTTTAAAGACAAAGTATATTATAAAGTTTATTAAAAATTTTATACATTAAATTATATTTTAAAAATTAAGTAGTGATTAAAGTATATTACAAAGTTTATCCATTAAAATGACACAACAAATATAAGTTAAACATTGTAAGAATACATTAAATAAAAATATATTTAAAAGAAAAACAAAAAAATAAGTAAAAAATTGAAAAATTATTTAATCATAAATCACCTTCCCATTAGAATCCATAATTTCTAACTGAATCTTTTTTGTACCGACGGTTACTTTATACCTATAAGCTTCTTCCTTTCCTCTGACGTAGTTATTAAAAAACTGGTTAGATAAACATCGAACAATTAATGCTGAAAAAATATTTTTTAAATTAGTTAACAAAGTTTTCAAAAAATTATATTAGACGGTAACAACATAATAGTGAAGCAGACGTATGTTTAAAATACCTAAAAAAGGTGGCTATACCTGTTTTTCCAACACCCGGTGAGCCAAGTAAAACCACCCTAAAAGAGCTTGTTTTTTTCCGTGATATTAATTTAAGAATTTTGTGCTTCATAACTTTCTTGTTAGAGTAGCATTTTTAACATTTGTTTTTAAAAATAATATGCAGATCATTACATTTAAAAACGTTAATAAAAACTAACAATTTCGTTAATTAAATACATTAGCATTCCCAAGAGGATAACCAAAATAAATGGTATGCGTGATAAAAATGGTTTGTCATAGCTAGTTATGGATGTAATTATATTATTTTAAGAAAATTAAATTTTAACAATAGTGTGAAAGTAAAAATTGCAACTTTTTGTTAACGTCACCGCTTTAAATTTAGAAAATTAAAAATAAAAGTAATATATTTTTAAAATACATATTACGTAATGCATATTACGGTTTAATACGTCATGCTTTTTATGAGCTTAAGCTTCAAACGTTTGTAAATTTTTAAGTTTTTTATTTCAGAAATCATGACAATGCTTATAAAGTTGCTAGTTACCAGCCAATAATGTCTCTATATTACTTTAAATTAAAAAAAAAAAATGTTATCATATATTAGCCACGAAAATCGTATATATATAAATTAAAGTATAAATTTATTTAAATTTTATTCAAAAGAAAATTAAAATCTTAATCTTAATATACATGTTCTAAACGTTTCTTTGTTTTTTTTTGTTTCGTCGTTTTTGCTACTTGTTTTTAACGCTTCATTTATTTTGCACAAAAAAGTCAAATAAATAGTTTACAAATCTATCTTCTTGACTCTCAATACCCAGCAAACATTCGGTCTAAAAAAGACGTCTTCTAAGCGTATAAAAAACGGTTAATACGCTTAAAAGACGTATTAAAAATTTTTTTTAGACCAAACGTTTGCTGGGTAGACACAATTGCTAAATTGGTTAATCTATCCTGAATCATTGTTGATTTTACAAAATTTTTAATATGCTTTAATTCAGAAAATAACCTTTCTCTAGAAGCCATGCTTGCTGGGATTGTTAAAATTCGAAAATCAAACTTGTTTTAACCATGATTAAATTTAATTTGATCTTTGCGGGCTTACTGGAATTTAACAAAATTTGAGTAATATGCGTATTTCGTGTTGTAAATTTTTTTTTTGATTTGTTATATATCACATATTGTTAAATGTAAAACTATTTCTAAAAATCTTTAAATACTATTAGGACCCATATAACACCCGATTAGGACCCATATAATACCCTATTAGGACCCATATAATAAGGTCATCCTATGGATCATGATAAGTCTACACCAAGAATACTATACTTATCATTCATAAAGTCTCTTCACTTCAATAATTTTTAGTTTATGCCGGAAAATTTATTTAAGAAATTATTAAAAAATTTATTAAAGACTTAAAAGTCCTTTGGGAAGAAGTTTAACTTTGATTAACGTTCAATAACTTAAAATTTCTTATTGAAAACTTTTAATAATACAAGTTAACTCTAGATTTTTCTAAAAACCTCTGATTCACACGGCACCGGCTTCCCACCTCTGGTTAGAAATATCAACCCTTTTACTAGTTTCTAAAAAATTGGAATGTCCTATCTTGATTTAGCGAAGAAAATTTTCTCTTTACTGAGTTAGATGCGCAGATTTACCTTACTTTACGTAAACACGTTAGTAGCATAAGTACCTCTAGCATAAATGACAAAATTTCCAACGGTCTTTTTCGAAGTTTAAGGCTATGATAAAATTTCCACCCACTGAATAACTCACCATCAACCCTACTGATCCTAATTTACGTTTAGTCGTCAGGTGAGAAAACTTTAATTTAAAGTAATCAAGGTTTTTATTCAAAAAAGTTTTTTGAAAATATATATTTAATTATTTAAGTATATATATTTATTTACAATTATCAAAACTTCAATTGTTGAGAGAAAGAAACAAAATATACATCTTTTTGACAAAATTAATTCAAAATTAAAAAAAGCAAGTTTTTTAGTGCCTAAAGCAAGCAGGTAATTGTAATTTTATTTGACTTTTAACCCAAAGTAAATAACTAATGCAAATTTTTGATAAGAATAGTTTTTGATAAGAATAGATTTAAGTAAAGTAGAATAAGTACAATTAATGCTGAAAAAATATTTAAGGAATGAAACGTTAAGGAAAATGGTAGAAGAACTTGATTTTTGATATTAAAAAAATTTTATTTTATATTAAAATGGAACTTTGGACTATTCAAAACAAAACTTTGTAATATTTTTTCTTTAAAAGAAAAATTGCTTCTAATTTTTGTACTTAAAGTTGAACTAATATAACTCTTAAAATGATGCTAATGATGTCACACACCTTCAAGTTACAATGAAATACATTACTACATAATATTTATTTTTTAGTAATTTATAAATTATACTAACAAGTATTAAATTAATTTGTAAAATATTAATAATCAAGTCACTTAAGTAATGCGTAAAGAAAATTAATTTTGCTTCATACTATATAATACGGCAATAGATAATACTCCGAAATGGGAAAAACCTAATCCACAGCAAAGCAAAGCTCTTAACGCAGTTTATTCAAAAAATTATAAATAGAAGAAAATTTATTTAATGATGATCAAAGAAAAATAAGAAATACGAATAAGCAAGGCAAAATAAAAATAAATAAAAAAAAATAATAATAAAAAAAAAAAGATATGAAAAAAATGTTGCATTATTAAAAATTAAGACAACTTCATTTTATTTTCCTCAAGTCTAAAAGTTATAGAAATAGTAAAAAATGATAGCCATTTTGAAAACAATAATAGCTGAATATTGACCGTTATTCAAGTTAGATCGTAGTAACTGTAAAAGTTTACCTTTTTTTTTTCTTTTTTCTCTTGAATCAAATTCTAATTATATTTTACCATTTTACAAACTAATTAGTCAGTCACGAGAAAGTAGGAAAAAAGGAGGAGGATTAGGAATTTATGTTTTAGAAAAGTATGTTTTTAAAATAAAAAACATATTATGCTTTTCAAATAATAATTATGAAAGTCTCTTCATTGAAATTATTAATAAAAAATACCGAAATATTTTAATTGGATGTGTTTATCGTCCACCGAGTGGAAAAATAAAAAACTTCGAAACTTTTATCAAAAATACAACAGGTGACATAAATCTTGATGTTTTATCTAACACTAAATTTCCAAAAATAAAATCTTTTTTTGATTTGCTTTTTAAGTTTAATGTCTTGTCAACTATTAATAAACCAACGCGTGTAACAAAAATTTCGGCAACAGCAATAGACAATATTTTAATTAACAATTATTTAGAAACGACATTCGAAACCGGTATATTTAAGGCAGATATAAGCGATTATTTCTCGATACTCTTAAAAATAAAAAAACTGTAAATCTAAGTCTGACTGTCAATCTAAAACCATACATTTGAAAAAACGAAATTTAAAAATGAGTAACACTGATAAGTTAACAGGTAGGCTAAAACAAGAAACTTGGAACGACGTATATAAATGTCAAGATACTAATGAAGCTTACAATGCTTTTTTAAGTACATTTTTGGAGTATTTTAACGAAACCTGTCCGCAAGAGATTATAAAAATTAAGTCAAAAGCTCTGGCTAATCCGTGGATGGATAAATTATTATTAAAGTCCTCAAAAAAAAAAGCAAAAACTTTACAATAAATTTCTGAAAAATAAAAACAATAATAATGAAAAAAATTACAAAAGTTATAAATATTTTTATCAAGATCTCATTAAAAATGCCAAAAAAAAAAATTACAGTAATCAAATTAACAAATGTAAATTTGATAGCAAAAAAACATGGTCCATCCTTAATGCAATGGGAAGAGAAAAACTAAATTCACCTTCACTACTTAAACGTATTGTTATTGATAACAACGATATATTTTGTCAAAAACTCATCTTGGATGAATTTAATAAATATTTTATTAGTATTAGTCCGAACCTTGTTAAAAAAATAATACCAACACATCTTAAACCCACGAATAACGTTATAATGCATGATTACGAATTAAGCTATGACGAATTTGAGGCAGCTTTTGCCTCTTTAAAAAAAAAAAAGCACCAGGATTTGATGAGATACCTAGTGATATAATTATTGCAAACAAACACAGTCTTAATAGACCTCTGATACATATACTAAAGCTCTCGTTAAATTCTGGGATTTTTCCGGATGTACTTTAATTAGCAAAAGTAACTCCTTTATACAAATGTAATGATCATTCTGACATTACAAACTACAGACCCATATCAATACTTTCTGTATTTTCAAAACTCTTCGAACGTGTAGTTTATAATAGAATCTATGATTACTTTATTAAAAATAATTTTTTTTACCCAAATCAGTTTGGCTTTCAAAAAAATCTTTCAACTGAGCATGCAATTATTGAAATAGTAAATCAAATAACTAATGGTTTTGAAAATAATAAGCTTACTTTAGGAGTATTTCTTGATTTATCAAAAGCATTTGATACAGTGGATCATTGCATTCTCTTAAATAAAATAAGACATTACGGAATAGTTAACAAAACCTATTATTGGATTAAAAGCTATCTTACCAACAGAAAACAATATGTACATAATGTCCACTCTGGAGTATTAAATAATTTGTGTGGAGTCCCGCAGGGATCAATTCTTGGTCCACTCCTTTTTCTTATATATATAAATGACTTCTGTAATGCATCCTTAAAACTGAATTCAGTCATGTTTGCAGATGACACGAATCTATTTCTTACGAACAATGATATCAAAACATTATATGCTGACATGAATATAGAACTAGTTAAAGTAAGCAACTGGTTTAAAGCTAACAAACTCTCGCTTAATGCTGAGAAAACAAATTATATACTATTCCATAAAAAAATACGAGAGGAAAATCTTCCTATCAAATTGCCTAAACTATTCCTAAATGATAAACTAATTAAAAAGCAATCCACTATAAAATTCTTAGGAATCGTTGTTGATGAAAATTTATCCTGGGTTCCTCATATAATATACATCCAGTCAAAAATCACTAAAATTATAGGTTTGATGTATCGAGTTCGCTTTTACTTCTATACACAAAGTCTGAAATTAATCTACTTTGGGCTAATGCATAGCTTCATCAGCTATGCAAACATTTCATGGGCAAGTACTCAAACATCAAAGCTTAAAAAACTGTATAGTTTGCAAAAACATGCTTGCAGAATCGTTTACTATAAGGATAGGCGTGAACACGCTAAACCCTTAATGAGTGATATGAAAA